GACAGTTCTTTACTTGTTCTTCTATTGCTGATCTGTCAAAAACCACACACATTGAATTGATCAAGTGTGGTTCAGCAAGGTTCACAGAATAAACTCAAATGTGAAGTCAAATGCCTTCAGTTTTCCAACCGCAACTTAGAATTTTCTGTCTGTTCCATATTCAATGACTGGTTAGTGATGTGCTGAAATCTCTGTCATTAGACAGCAATCAACTGATCAGCACTGTATGACTCTTTCTGTAGCCATTGCAATAACTGAAACTGCTACCATTTACTTAAATCAATGAACACAACTAAACACGCTGGATATAAATGAAGGATAAAATCGAATACAACTATTGTAGGATGAATCAAATATATTTCTAGAGCTCTAAATCTTCCACATATGCACTGGACTCAAAATTATGCACAGCAAGCTGTGTCCACCGTTTGCCGGGTTCCCGCCACCTTGAGCTGTAATCATACCCCTATACTATTATCACGTCGTATTTTGTTTCTTGTTTACTGGTCGATTTTAAAGTCCGACTTGCTGTAATTTGTTCTTTGTACTGGTTGTTTAGGCCGTGGACCTTATGGTTCATCTCCGTTCCCACATATATGTATCGATGTTTAGGTTTGAGGAGCGTATTCATTGCTTACTGTTGAGATGTATCAGATGACCTTTGCTGGACACTGATAGCACACTGCACACAGTTTTAAATCTAGTGCGCTCGTGGAAGATTTAGGGCACATGAAATGAATTTAGTTCACCCCAGAAAGTTTGCTATTCTTACTTTCTAGGAATACGGTTATATAGATTCACCTCGCTTTTAGCCAAGTGGAACGTGACACCTATTTGTTGGCTCGAACGGCTGTTTTCAGCATTACAGCAAAGTTGATAAAGAGAGTATAGAGACAAAGAACCGGAAGAGAAAGGTGAGATTGTTGTTGTTATTATCACCATAATTATCCTCAGATTGAGGTACTACTTGGGAAAATTAAAAATTTGAGTTAGCCGTAACCTGGTCTGCTGTGACGATAGAAAGTTTTGCTGCTTAGGCGATTTTCCTCCTGTGTGAAGGTTATTGGTGTATAATGACCACATAGTTAGTTTCATGTCTTGGGCCAGAACAAACGTTCTAGCAAACATCTTAGCGCTCCATGTGTTCTGTTATCTAGTCGCAGATTTCAAAAGTTCCGATGGTCCCTTAGCCTCCCAAGACGAATTCCTGTCGTGCAGAAAACATCGTAATTAGACAGTCATATGGACATGGTATGTGGCTTCACCTCCTGGCTATTCGGTTTGCCATACCTGGCACAAGAACATCGACATAGAAAGCAACGGAGCAAGTAATGTGATCAGGGTCTTAGACCACAATAAAAAAGGAAGAGGGATTAGGGCGAACAACAGAATATGGGGCAGAGCTACCCACCATTTCGAAAGGCCATCACGTAGGTCCCCTTTCAGTCGACATCCAAGTTGCATGTGCCCTCCGTTTTGTTTAAAGCCAGCTGGAACTCTACCATGTGCAGTTTTTGGTCTGTATCAGGCTGCTGATATGCAGTGACCGTTTCCAACACTACTCTGTGGGCCACCTACGTTTTCTACGGCTGATTGGAGGTTCTGTCAAGATTCTTCGGAGCAAGTGTCATTGCTGTGTCTTAAAAACTGTTTAACCAGTCCCTCTTTAAACTCAACCCCAGCAAACTGTGCTAAGAATAGTATTCTAACGACGGCCTTTCCAAGTTCTTCCAAGCGGTATACAAACGTTACTGGACTAACTGGTGGTCACTATCCAAGAACGTTGCCCAGAAGAAGTGGCAGTCTTTCAACGACCCACTTCAGCTATAACTGGCAGTGATGTGACCTCCCTATATCCACCGTTGAATTGAAGTGGATAGTTGCTACGTCAGACAGCGTGTTTCCTTACATCTGGAATCCAGGATGGTTGGAGATGGGCGTTTGTTCAGAAGTCGCTGCAGGCTATTGTCACTATCGTTTCATCTGGCTTAAACTACACAAATATCATCCAAGTGCCTTTCTGTTTCTCTCAGCCTTTACACTTTGCTGGTTGGGGCCACTAACTACTGAAGCAAAATCTGAGCGTTTGATAATTAGTCAGGGGTTATGCAGCTCTCAGTATTAATTCCTGCTGAGCATTCATCACAATTACAGGAACACCTAAGCCTTCTTCCCTGTTACTCTAGTTCATTCGTTTATTTGTATTTGATATCAATGCCCGTAGAAAATTGCTCGCCACCTCTTTCATTATTCAGCCGAATTCAGGGTTTCAGTGACTAGTGCAGCTTCTTTTAAAGCTTACCAATTTCTCGGTTGAAGGATAGTTGCTTGGTTAAACTTTGTTCTCCTAGGCATAGGTCCTCAGTTCAAAATGACCTATCCTTTCTTGGGAAGGGCATTCTTGAACCTTTACTCCCTACCACAACATAACAGTGCACCGGACGCAACACCATCACCAACCACATCTGTTTCTCATGGAGGCCATCATTCGGTATCAGATAGCAACTCCGCAGCTACTCAGTTTAGTTCGCTGCAAAATACTCAAGAAGGTGAGGCTCATTCTGAAGCTACAAATTCCCCCCTTGATGAGACGACCAGTCGTTTCACGCCGCCCAAAAACTCACCCGTAGATAAACCCCTACTCTCAATCTTTCCTTCTTACACTGGCGATGGCGGTCTTTTAGTTGATGTAACGGTGTCAGCTCAATTGCCCCGGTTAGTTTAATAATTTTGGGATGTGATTCGCATCACTTTCTGCCTTATCTGTTGGAATTATTTATGCAGGTTCATACGCCTTAAGTCCCCAGATTCATATTAATGTTGTTTCCCAGTTTCAGCGTTTTACCTGATACTGAAATAGGTGAAAACAAAATCTTCAGCATGGGACACAACTATGTCTTTATATCAGTATGTAGACATGACATCTCTTGTTTCGTAACTCACGAGAATAGACAAAAGTCGAAAAAATTTATGAGGTGAAAGTACTTATTTGAATGCCGTTCTTTTTCTGTGACTAGCTTGCATCTACACTCCACACAAACACCGTACCTACTACACAAATTCACTTTAACAGCCAGCGGTGAGCTTCAGTTTGAACATAACAGTCTTCACGATCTGTTCAACCGCGCCCACAGCGTCTCAACGAACCCATTTAAACCCTGCTTACGTGCGAATTTCTTCATCGTCAAATTCTCTCAGTTGTGGAACAGGCCTCCTGCTAAAGTGGAGGCCTCCAAACCAACCTCTGAATTTGGTTGGTTACTAGTCAGCTTCTTATCATCTGGCAACTTATCCGGCTTAACAAATACACTGACACTATTCTCCATGACTTTTCGTGTACTAAGTCCTCTTGATCTATAATGAGACATCCACCAAACGTGCACTGGCCTCTCATACGAAGCGTCTGGGAAACTTCCATGAGTTATCACCTGGTACTACCCTACCCAGTACAGTAACCAAAGATAAAAGTTCTACGCTACGCGATAGCAAATATATATGTTCTTTGGTATCCGATAGCGGAAAAAGTTAAGAGGAAACATGAACATAGGGAACACGCCGTAACGGAATAAATGATCTGAAAATCCCTCCTGATCACCCTAATGGACAGTGTCGACATTTGTGTGAATATTTTTGCCCTCCTAATGGATATTGTACCGTCGACCCTGGTCGATGCAGTTATATTTTGTCATTTGACCGTCTCCTCTGGCCTTAAGCCCATTATTTGTCTTCGTTTGATTGGAACTTATCATGAATGCTTCACTTTCTTATGGTGTGGTGCTGGACAGTTGACAGTGTGACGTTGTTTACTGCGCCCGACACATTGTTTTGGTTCAACTTAAGGTTACGCTGTGACTTGACTGTTTATCTTTTAACTGACCACTGGAAAAGTTTGCTTGTTGATTTGATTCTAGTAGACACAGTTTTGATCCCCTTTTGTCAGGAATAAACTTATTGATTCTCAGTACGCATCTATACGCGAGAACTTTAGGACTGTATAGTTACCCAACGGCACCGTCGGTGCGTTTCTCACTTTCGATGTGACCTATTGTTGCCTTGATAGTGTCACAGATTTGTTACGAATATACCACTGATTTACTGAAAGCAGTGCTTTGATATTATTGGTCCAACCTTCTACTATGCGTCACTCGCAGAGGTTCAGGAACTATACAGCAGAACGCAAGAACTCGTCGGGCCTGCCGTAGTCTGGCACCTCTGAGTCAGTTCCGCGTTCAGACCAAAATAATTGGATTTTGGTCGTTACAACACACTCCTTGTTGGAATTCTGGTTTATTTTTCTGCCTGCTGTTTGTTTCTGTTTTTCTCTCGCTGTGGGACAGCAACTCACCTCTAAATTTCGGCTCGGCCATCACTGAAAAATCACTATTTAAGGAACAGACCTTGACTGAAACTACCTTCAGTGGAGAGTAGCCAGTGTTATCGCCTTCACAACGCCTAACCACAACAAGCAGAAACAAAGAACGTTCACTGGACTAAAACCTGATAATTATCAAGACCTACGACTTACTCATTATGAAGTGACCAGGACAGTCCAA